ATTTTCAGAGAAATGTTTAGATTAAAAGATATCACGATTTTCCGACGCCAGGACGTGATATCTTTCAAAATCGATAAAAAGCGAAATTACTCTGAAATGGTTGAGAATCGGACCATGGACAATATGAACTTTTTTGTTCATTTTAGGGTGAAGAATCTACTGGAGAAGTTTGTAGCACGAGTAGCAATTCACCCTGTATAGCTGCTGGATTTTGTTATTGAAAGTAGTGAAAATTATTTAAATATTAAAAATGAAAAATTAAACTTTTTACATTATAAATACTTTTTTACGTTTAAATCATATTTATTTATTATATTTGAGGAGTTAAATCTTAATTAAGATGATAAAATTTTGGAATAGTATTGCTTGGATTGATAAATCATTATAAAAAAATGTAATAATAATATTTTAATTGATTTCAGATTTCAAGATCGAAGCAAAAGGTTAAAACTTCATCAGTTCATTGCAAAAAACGCAAATGTACTATTTGACGAGGTTTTAAACATCAGAGCACCTGCATCGAAATCACAGACATCACCTGGATTAGAACTTTGTGCTGTACTGCCACCATTTGACATGTTTGCACCAGATATGGACAAGAAGGAGAGGACGGAGCATTTTTTTGCTGTAAATATTTGTTCCGATGTTTTTTATGATTGATTTTTTACTGTTTGGGATATTTATTTTTTTAAATATTTTTTTAGTGTGTGAAACCGGGAGACCTTATTGTAGGTTCTCTTATAAGCAAACTCTCAACAGGCTATATGATGAAAGTAGTCTACATGGAAGGAGACACAGTCAGGATCGTCAGTGATCTTGGTATCAAGGTGTGTATATTACATTGATTTGATAAAATTTCAATTAAAACAAGATAGAATGAAATAAATTTTAATCAATTTTAGTATTATTATTATGAATATCTATTTATTTTTTGTAGGCTATAATACACTCCGTGAACATGATTCAAGCAATTGATAAGAAGAACAATGCTCGTTCGTTTGTCCTTAATGATATGGTTTGCTGTGAGGTTTTGGAAGTTGTAACAAGCTCCGAGAAGATATATGGTGGGATGAAAGGCGATTATTGCTCTCCCTCCTTAAGATCCAAGCTCGGACTGATACATACTGAAGATTTGCATCCTGTTTACAGGTAAAGTAGTAACTAGATATTTGGAAATAGAACTTCACTCTATAGCTATTTTGATAGCATAAGTTTCCTCGTCAAAGGAGTTGAATTTTGGTTGTTGTTGAACAGAAAATCAATCTTAAATTAAAATTGATCTTTTTGTGGCTATGTAAAAAGTAAAATTTTTAAAATGGGGATCACAGACATACAGTAAGTAATAATTTCTACTCATGGAATAATTTATTAAAAAATAAATATATTTTTGCTTTCTTTTTTAAATGTATTTAAAAATTATAAAGTATATCTATTGTTGATTAAATTTTTAGAAATTAATCCATAGTTGCTTAGTAGTCATAATTGACCGTATTAATTATTCTTTTTACCTACGGTTTTTGGTTGGGATGAAAAAATTAGTGTCACAAGCGGGATTTGAACCTTCTATCTTCGGCTCAATATGTCGCTGCTCTTTCCACTTGAGCTATTGTGACTTGTAACCAAAAACTTTATATAAAAAAAAGAAGAATTAATTTTATAGAGATGTTCAACGATAAAAAATATAACAAGTTAAATTTGTGTTAAAAGTGAATAATGTTGGATTGATTGTCTTTTAACCCCTCATATCTCTGTAAAACACCAACCAAAGTCATAATCTTTTTTTACTTAAGTTTGAATTAACAAAACTTAAATAAACTTATCTTAATTTTCTTGTTATAATTTTGTCAAAACCAAAACGCAATCTTTGTATGTGAATAATTTTGTTTTTCATTTTTCCTTTTGTCATTTAATATTCTCCAAATTGTATGATGAGCCAAAGTGTACTTTTTTATGTTCGGACCCTTCACTTTTGTTAATAAATTAAGTATTAATTTATTTCAGTTGTGTAATTTGATGAGATATGAGAATGGCTATGTCGAAAACATTAAGTTATGAGTTTATTTAAATACTATCGTCAGTACGAGGACACAATAGTACGCTCGATCGTTGACACTACTTAACCTTCTACAGCCCTAGCAGGATTCTCACTCTCTATGTAAAAATACAGTTGTTATTGAAGATTTCCATCCATGACTAATAAATGGTGTTAAATTGTAGTGCAACAATTTTTTGAACAGCTGGAAATAACGAAAAACAAAACTAAGGTAAAATTTTTGCCGAATTATATTTCCATGGACTGTAGGTATAAGGTTCGAAAGAAGATAATAATTTCAGGGTATAAACAAGAATTTTGAAGTGCCACCTTTCGAAAATCCCTGGTTTGGGCACTTAACGAAACTTTCAGAATGGGTCCATTTGTTGTCATCAATGGGTGAAAGCAGAAGATCCCAAACCATGTACATACAACTTCCAAATTAATTTAGGCTTACTTTTATATTTATTTATATTTATTTTTCTGTTTTAGTTTAAACAAAAATTTTTTTCTTGTTGACATATGGTTTAGAAATTTTACTTGGATTATAACCATTTATTATGCAATTTGGTTTTAATTCTTGCATAATTTTCATATTGCAGCATATATCCCGAACTAAAGAGGAAATTAAGTAGAGAGTTTCCTGCATTGAATTTAGGGTTATAAATTTTTCAATGTGATTTTGACCTCTTATTACTATTGAATACCAAAAAATGTGTACTCTTTGTTACCGATGGAATAATTCATTATGCTTTTAACCAAATGCAAATATCATTTATTCATCATTAAGAACAGGTGAGATCCCGGAGAATTTGATTTCGGAATTAAAATTATCTGCTATTATAATTTATTGTGTGTCTTTATTTAATAATGTTATAACAACAGTGTTGAAAGAGGGTAGATTATCAAATAACTGATATTATAATTAAAACATATCTGATTTTGAAGATCCAAAGTACAGACATACTTTATGCATGAATGTTAGGTTAGGAGGAGTGGATAAAATTAATAGAATTTTTATTTCAGGATTTATTTATTATTAATTGTGTATGATATACTAATTGTCTATCCTCAGACAGGAGTCGCTATCAGTTACGTATATATATCACATGTGGATAAATGTGATTTTTTGGATTAGTTGTATGTTAATTTAAATCCAATGTTATGATTTTGTTTAAATTTTCCAATGTTAAAATCCTGTTGGTAATTATATGTTGGTTGTGTGCATAAGGTTTTTCGTGTGGTTTTTTCTTTAAACTTTTGACTTTCATCCTTACAAAGGTGTTCCTTTATTACCAATAGCCCTGTTAGCTCTATGGTGGGAAAAGTACTATTGAAAAGAGTAGTTGATACCAAAAAAATCAGAGCAGAATAAACTGTGACACAAGTTTTTAAAAGTTAGATCAGAATTTATTAGGAATTTACAGTAATAACGTAGTAACTGAACATGTACTACAGAACGTCAACAGTGGTTCTGAGTTTATCATAATGGAGGGAGACAAATCAAAGACTAACCTTATTATGGAATGTGTAACGAGCTAACAAGTGACAACTTCCTAGTACACTGGAGGATGAGGATAAATTAACTGTAGCAGAGCTATCACAGAGATTTCAGATACATCACTTAGCAATCGAAAGAATCCATCTCTGGATTATGTTGTGAAATTTGAATTGTGTGTTCCCCATGAATTGTCCCTCGGGAGCAAGGAAGGCTTGTAGTGTTTACATGTGAATAGGAATAAATCAGAAGGGTTTATTTTCTGTTTGGTCAGTGGGGATGAGAACATCAGAAGAAAAACATTTTAAAGAAGAAAAGTTGGGAAGAAAAATGAAAAGCCGAAAAGCGACACAATCCTGACACACCTGCCCTCACTCTGATTGAAATCGCCAAGTTAAATTGGCAACATTCTTTTTCCTTTACCACAACATTACCGTCACTTAAAGGGTAGGGAATTTTTGAATGTAAACACTGAAACTTACAGACTTCTTCTCATTTAATTGTATGTCATCAGACTTTTACAAAAAGAGGATATTTCTGCTACCAGAACGTTGGCAGTGTGTTATAGAAAATGAAGGAAATTACGTTTCGGATTAAAAATAAAATACATTAAACTTTGAAAGAACTTTTTTCTGAAAAGCGAAAAAACTTAGGCACACACTGAATATTTTAGTGGAGAAAATGTCAATTCTTAATATTCACTTATACCAGTATGTAAAATTCAATCTTACTTCACATTATTAATTTATTTTAACAATTTGGAAATCATTGTATCATATTTTAAGCTTTTAATTGTAGTTTAAATCTGCTTGATTTAATTAACAATACTAAAATAATGACAGAAGAAATGAATTGCTACACTTCATTGTCATCCTAGTAAATAATTGAAGATGTGATAGCATGAAGGCTACATTTTAGTCCTGCCTATGTTTCTTTTGCATGTTTTATTTTTTTAGTGAAATACATCAGAAATTGTATTTGGAATTGGACCAGTTTTCAGCAGAATGAAGTTTCAGCAAAAGCAAATTGATATGTTTAGATAAAAGAAGATGGTTGGATACAGCATATGGAAATGCAGATGTTATATGTTCTACAGATTGTAAGGATTTTCTTTTCAGTGGAAAAGCTTCATCTCATATTCATCATCTTTAGCCTTATGTCTGTACTTTGGTTTCTTTATAATTGAAAAGTCCTCATTAATTTAAACCCAAATAAAGTAGATTCATATCGGTATTGTGCATTAAAATGGCTTGGACTTTTTTTAACACATTTGGTTGTTCTAATTGCAGGAAGTGGATGGAAGGCAAGACCGACTCTTATGAGGACATGTTGTCCAACTCTGTTGGGTTCCAAAACCCAGGAAACGTGAAACACCTCTCTGAAGAACTTGGTTTGGGAAATGAACAATTCTCGAATTTTGCGGCTTTAAGGTAAATATAATTTGTACATATTAAAAATACTACATGTTAATTTGTCGTTTGCATACGCAGATTCGGTTTCCCAACGGAAGAATGTGCTACTGAATTGAGGCAAGTGCAGTCAAGCAAATGGGCTTACAGGAGTGTGTCTGATGGCATTGCTCACTTCAAAGCTGGACGTCACTCTGAAGCTTTTCAGTGTCTTAATAAAGCCCTCACTATTGATGCCAACAACATAGAAGCGTTGGTCGCCAGGGGTGCTTTGTGAGTGCTTTGTTGTGCTTAAATTTAATAGCATCACATTAATACATTAATCACTTTATATTACTTTTAATTAATTAATGATTTGAAATGTATCTTACTCTTTTGACTTTACCTTTTATTATTCATATTAGGTATGCAAACGGAGGAAGTTTTAAAAAGGCGATTGAGGACTTTGACGCTGCCTTGAAGATAAATGCAAATCACCAAAATGCTAGGAAATATCTTGCTGAAACACTTGTAGCTTTCGGTCGAAGGTACATTTTTTTAACCCTTCAATAATACAATAATTACATTTTACACATTTCAGTTATGAAGACGAAGGAAAATGGGAGGACGCTTTGGCAGCTTATGAGCGTTGCCTCACTATTATGCCGTATCATGAAGAAGCAAAAAACTCTATAGAGTTTATTAAAAACAAACAAGGTTTGGGCAAATCAGGCGAGCCTGAAACCATCCCGCTTTTGACTCCGGGCAAAGCTCAAGGTGTAAGGGAAACTCTGAAACACCTTCTCGCTCAGCACGAAGGAAAAAGCAGTGGCAAAAAGAAAAAGAAGAAGGACAAAAAGTATGCGCTTAAAAATTACATTGTTTTTAACATGTGTCGATTCTAGGTTCTAATGAATATTTTATCCAAACAGAAGTAAATATAAGAAGAACCGATCAAGCTCTAGTAGCAGTAGTTCTTCATCTTCTAGTTCTTCATCGTCGTCGTCTTCATCATCAGATTCATCGTCTGCTTCTTCTCAAGATTCTCACCATAAAAAGAAACATAAGAGGTAACATATTGCTTTAAAGTCATAATCATAATTTATATTTTTAATTATTTATTTTTTTGTTTTTATAGGAAAAGCGAACATAAAGATCGTTCATTATCACCACTCAGTAAACGCATGGCTCTTATGGATAGTGGGGCAGGAGATGGTAATGACAGTTTTATAATATTGTAATTTGTATCATTGCATAAAATTTTAACTTGATGCTTAGGTTTTGAGGCTTTGGGATTACAGCAGACAACATCTCATTATAATCCGCCCATACCTTTCGCTGCTTTCAATGGTAAGTTTTCATTTACATAAAGTTTACTCTAGTTTGGATACAACAGCTTTTAAAGGCCGCAATATATTATACCCCGACCAATACAATACAATACTTGAGTTTTTGTGGAAACTTTATTCAATTGCAATTTCAGCTCGCCCTGATTTGAATGAGTCATTAAGAGCTCTGTCGTCTGGTAAGACAACCACTGAAAACGAGTATGAATTGAGAGTGAGGAAATTTTTGGAACAAACCAAAGGAGATGATGATTATGAAGAAAAAGTAAGAAAGTTTTTAGAAGAGACGACCAAATGGTAAGTTTTACATTATTTCTTCATTGCAATGTAGCATGGTACAAAAAAAAAATCTATTGTTTGGCGATATTTTCAGGAAAAAAGAAAGAAAAGCGCAAGAAGAAAAAAAGAAAAAGAAGAAGAAAGATAAAAAAATGAGTAAAAAAGGTAATTTATTTGGATTTGTTACTCATGGATAGAATGAGTGTAGAAATTCATTTATTTATGTCACTGCAGATCGTAAGAAAAAGAGGGCTGAAAAGAAAAAACTCAAAAAAGCTGCAAAAGAGGAAAAAATGAAAAGAGAAAAAAGGCGTAACAGCAATGCTGATGCGGAGGACCCTTATAGCAGTAAATCAGATCTAAGGTATTTAAGAATTAATCAGTTATGATGGGCTATCATATAAATAAATGTATCTATTTTCAGACTCCTTTTCTCTGATAGCATACCAGACCTAGAAGATTTACAAAGCAAATTGAGTGCTTACTATGCCAAAGTTGAAAAGGCCCCCAATAACAAAAAGTGAGAGTAAAGCAAATTTAACTATATGTTAAATGTGTAGAGATTAGTGACCGTTAATCAATAGTTATTCAGATATCGTGAGATGCGGTCGGGAGTGACCCACGCCTACAATTTACACATGAAATCGAAAACAACAAAACAATACCATTTTTAGATACACTTGTAATAAAACAACCAGATGGCACATTAATCACAGATTGGTACCAAAAACCAAGAAACAAATCGCTACCTCAACTTTAAATCTCACCATCCTCTTCATACAATAGTAAACACGGCCAAAGGGTTACTTCACAGAATGATTACCCTGAGCAATGAATCATTTCACCACAAGAACATAAAGATATTCAAACAGATCCTCCATAACAATCTCTACCCTAAACACATAATTAACAGAATAATCAACAACTACAACACAACACTAACACATTCCACTATTACTAATAATACTACATTAAGTACATCAAATACAAACAAACAAGCATACATTTCCATACCATTTATTCAAGGCCTATCACACAAATTAAACACTTTTCTTTTGTCCGATAACTTCAAAATAGCTTTCAAAAATTATAAAACAATCCAAACACTTTTTTCCAAAGTTAAAGATCCCACTCCAATAATAAATAAATCTGACGTAATCTACAAGATCAACTGTTCAAACTGTCCGGCAACTTACATCGGTCTTACATCCCAATATCTGGACAAGAGAGTAAAGCAACATATCTATGATTGCAAAAAACCCAAGCAAAATCCTACAGCACTCGCTACCCACCACTTTGAACACCAACACAATTTTGACTTCAAAAATCCAAAAATATTACATACAGAACAAAACAAATATAAACGTAATTTCTTAGAAATGGTTTATATCAACAGAGATAAACACAGCATCAATTACAGAACAGATACATGCAAACTCAGTCGCAGCTACGCCAATATCATTAATCAAATACAATACAAATAACATACATACATCATTACATTACATTCCACACATCAAATACTTTTCACATAGTCTAATTTTCCAACAATTTAGCTTTCCTTTTCCTATTTATCCCCTTTCTATATAATCCTGAAAGAATAATCTGGCCGAACTATTACCAACACATTGTTCCCCTTTGTCCGCTTTTTTCACTTCAAAGGAGCCGACACCTTGCACAAAATTGTCTTTTATATACCGACTTCCTTCCCCACCCCCTCAAAACCAAACATATATAAACATGAAACAGCAAAATCTCACTGGCACTCTCAACACGACACACAAGGATGGCACAATTACACAGAAGACAAACACTTTGAGTGAGTAGAAATACTTTGTTTGAATATAAAATATATTTTGCATTGTATAAATTCACTTATCCACATCCTAAATGTATTTGTTAAATGTAAACATTGTAAATCCCAGGCCCTGAAGATGATCTCAATAAAAGATCGAAACGTTGGCACGATAAAGAAAATGTTTTTCTGAAACCTACATCACTCCCGACCGCATCTCACGATATCTGAATAACTATATGTTAAATTTTTAAAAATTATAATTGTATTTTTAGGCAAGAAATGTTGGAAGATAAATTTCCAAAAAATCAGAATAAAATGGGTCTTTCACCAAAGCAGCAGCAACAACAACAGCTGCAGCAGCAACAACAGCAACAGGTTTATGAAATTGAAAAAACACATTTATTACCATCCCATGATGTCAAAAAGGGTTAGTACTTATTTAGTAAATTCGTTAAAAAAATATAAAGTGTACCAAGATTTTACCTAATCTCCCATAAAAAAAATTTCATTTGCCAAAATGTCAATTAAATATTTAAATTGTAAAGTGGTCAATAAATTAATATCAACTGTTTATGTGATATACTTTCTTGAAAAATTTGATAGAATTGATAACGGCACAATGAGAATAGGCATTTTGAAAAAGTAAATTCATAGTTTAATGTGTAGTTAATTTAAATTTAATGATTTTCAGGCAAGAAAGGAATGGACATTTTTGAAGAAGCTCCAATGGCACCTGCTGAAAAAGAAAGGCCACCAGAAGCATCTCCACCACAACAAAAATTTAAAATGCAGTTGACTAATTCTGCCAAGTATGTTATGGAGCCAAAGTAAATATTTCCAATGTAACATGTGTTACTTTTCTTATATGATTGACATGTGAATTGAGTTTTTGATTGGTTTATTTTGTTTACAGAGTAAAAAAGAAAGAAAAACTGGAGGACCCTGTTTCAGAAGCATGGGATGAATTGGATGACAAAGTGGCCGCAAATTTGAAAGACGACGTTCCTCCACCACCTCCACCTACAAAGGATGAAATGGTTCAAAATTTGAAAAAAATTGTTGAGAAGAAGAAGGAGTCCATAGAAGCAGCCAAGCCTACTCCGCCAGCAGTTCCTCCAGGTCCTTCAGTCATGGATAAGTTAGGAGGTTTTAGAATTAATCCTGCAGCAGTCTCCAATAACTTCAGAAATGAAGATGATCAAGATCATCATCGCCATCATCATCATCACAAGAGGAAGAATAGGAATAGAGACAGCGATTCGGATTCAGAGAGGGGAGACAAAGATAAACGCTCAGGGTCATCAAGGAGTAGAACAAGGTCTCCAAGACAGAGGAAAGAATATAGTGGATCAGAGAGCTCAGGAGAATCTTATAAGAGGAGAAGTAGGTCAAGGACTGTGAGCCCTCGTCCAAGGAGATACAGAAGTTCAGAATCTGGATCTTTTAGAAGCCGTTCTTACTCGAGAAGCCGAAGCCGATCAAGGTCAGGAGATTATAGGAGATCCAGGAGTCGATCAGACGACAGAAACTACAGGAGCAAATATCCTGGAAGGTATCCCAGGAACAGAGGCACATACTATCGACCTAGGTTCCAGAATTCAGGAAACTATAAAAGCAGGGGATATAACAACAGAATGGGAAATTACAGAAATCGCGGAGGTTATGGCAATTATAGAGATTATAACAGAGATTACCGTAATAGGGGTTTCCAGCTTAGGAATCGCGGCCGAGGCAGAGGTGGTGGTGGTGGGAGCCAAAGATATTATCACAGGAGAGACTACAGAGATTATAAGAGATACGATAGGGGATCTCGTTCTGACGATGACAGAGACGACAGTCCCATGCGTAAAGTTGATGCGGCAAAAGAAAGGATAGATAAAATAATATCTCAGGAGCAAAGTGGTCCCCTGAGTGAGGGTGAAGAAAGGGATGAGGATTTCCTCAACAGAAAAGATTACGATGGCAAGTGGGCCAACAAAGAAGAGTTGGCAATGACCACACCATCGACAGAAAAAATAAGTTACCAACATGGTTAAACACAGCATCATTTCATTCCTTATGTTCTTTTAGTGTGTAAATTCTTTTTAATATGATGTTAAAGGTTTTGTTCGTCATGATACAACTTTTTGTTTTTGAAAGCAGGATATATACAGTACTTTTCTGCTTTGAAAACTATAATACACTATATACATTAAATAGAACTAAATAAGGTTAAAACTTTTATTCATGACAAAAAAAATATGTAGAAGTGTAGTACGTAATAATATATATTATAAACTTGATGTAAAAATGATGACTTTTATTTTACAATTCGCTCCATGGTTATTTTACATTTATATAAAGGCTAAAGTCTAGGTATACACAATTCTTACTTATGTATAATGATCATTTTTCGTTGAATAAAAATTGAAGTATATATTCTTTCAGAATTCTTTTTGCAACTGAACACACTTGGAAATTAAAAGTTGAAAATCAACATTTTTTTAATATACTTTAAACTTCTGCAGTATGTACAAATAAAGGTAAAATTAAATAGCAATAGTGTCAATGCTTGCCTCTATATTTTTCATTGATGTACTTAATTACGTATTAAGGAATTATTCAATGAAAAGCAAATATTATTTAAATTATGAAATAATTTTATGCGTCAACCATTTCCATGCCATAAATTTGTTACAAAATAAGGTCTTATTGTTCATGCATGGTTTTTGTGATGATTTTAAGGCTTGCAACCTGTTTGTATAAGGCCAAGGCCACTCCGGAGTCTCATTCTGATGATGCCTTCTACCTAGTGACTAGATGCTAAGTGGCCCACTAAAACAAAAGCCAGTCACTGAGGTTGTACGATAGATTACATTGTGTAAATTGACAAGAATGCTTTTGGCAGAAAATATTTCTTACAAATATTAAAGAGTGAAAAGTCCCTTATGCTGGGTACAACATATTCATCGTGCAAGAAGGGAAATGACAAATTCATAATGTCGTACAAACTTCAAAAGTATGACGACAACTTATTGGATACTTGTTTTAGTGTATTTTTGGATACTTATAAATGACTGCAAATTATTCAGAAATTGTGAGATGCGGTCTAGTGTGATGTAGGTTTCAGAAAAACAAAAAAATGCACTCTCAACACGACACACAAGAATGGCACAATTACACAGAAGACAAACACTGAGCCCTGAAGGTGATCTCAATAAAGATCGAAACGGCATGATAAACAAAATGTTTTTCTGAAACCTACATCACACTAGACCGCATCTCACGATTTCTGAATAATTATCGATTAACGGTCACTAATCACGACACATGACTGTAGAGTATTTTGACCTCAGGACCATTACATAGAAATTACCAAAACAAATAATTTAGAGCAAGCAAGAAAAAATAATTGAAACTGCATCTATTACTGAGTCAACATTCACGATCAAATTTTAAAAACCATTAGGCAACATACCACGAAAAACCAATTTGTCTAGAGAGGCATGATGTAACTCATGTGGCTGGTCTCAAATCTGTAAGGTGGGTCTCAAGGCTTCAGGTAATGACACCAAGCGAGACACTTTCGTTTTACTCACTTTGCAAAAATTTAAACAACATCCCCCATTAAATTATTTCTATTTAGACATCCCGTTGTGGCCATAGCTTCAGTGATGAGGAGAAGGGCCTTGAAATTTAACTTACCAACCTGTTTTATTAAGGAATGTTGGTTTTATCAGGAAGTAAATTTTAAAAAAAAATTATTAGAAAGTAATGTTCGTTCAATTAGCATTTGTTGGATTGTGGTCGACTACTATGGCAAGGTTACATATACAGCCAAATGGCCCTCTATACAATAGCCAATCATCAGCCATTGCAAGTCATGACCTTTGTATGGGGTGTGGATTGGCATGCAGTGACTGATTGTGTGATGTTAGTGGTGAAGGTTGGTTTCGGGAGCAGTTTTTTTTGCATCAAAGGAATCAGCTGTGTAAACAAGATGCGCAGAAAATTCCTACCTCGTGCAACAACACTGGCCCATTGTCGACTAGTGTGTGTAGATGGACATGATGGTCATCACTGATGGAGGCCATCTTCAGTAGAAGAGGCATAACAGAGGGTACAACAGAAATGTGAACCAGTATTGTCAATTTCACTACAAAAAGGAAAAAAAAAAGGTATGCCATGTATCAAAGTTAATTTTCTTAAAGTTAAGTTAAGGATGTCAAAAAGTAGATGTTTTCTTCCTATTGGTTAACAGAGTCCAATAATTTGGTATTTAATTTATAAATATGTTATACAGACATGCATTAAATAAGGAAAGGTGTAAAGGTAAAATATAAATTTTATTGCTTTATATTTTTGATGCAAACATTCTTCACACAGCATTATAGCTTTACTCATCATAGTATTATTGCAAAAATAAATATAATAAAAAATTTCTGTAATCTAGGAGATATAAAAAAGTAAAAATCATTATTTTAAATAATACAATTCAATCAATAGCTAGGTCAATTCAGCACCCAACACAGAACATTGGCTGTGTTATTGAAAACGACGGAAATTACATTTTGGATTAAAAATAAAATACATTAAATTTTGAAAGAACTTTTTTTCAGAAAAGCAAAAAAACTTAGGCACACACTGAATATTTACTGAAGAAGATTTTAATTGTTGATATTCACTTATATCAATATGTAAAATTCAGTCTTACTTCACATTAATATCCTAGTTTGTTTTAACAATTTGGAAATCATTATATCATATTTTAAGCTTTTAATTGTAGTTTTAAATCTGTTTGAATTTAATTAACAATACTAAAATAATGACAGTAAGAAATGAATTGCTATACTTTATTGTCATCCTAGTGACTAATTGAAGATGTGATAGCATGAAGGCCATATTCTAGTCCTGTCTGTTTCTTTTGTATGTTTATTTTTTTAGTGAAATACAACAGAAATTGTATTTGGAATTGGACCAGTTTTCAGCAGAATGAAGTTTCAACAAAAGCAAATTAATATGTTTAAATAAAAGAAGATCATTGAATACAGCGTATGGAAATGCAGATGTTATATTTCTACAGATTGTAAGGATTTTCTTTTCAGAGCAATTCAGCACCCAACCCAGTTAGATGGATAAAAACTCAATCACACTCTCATTCTTAAATACATGCCATTCACTCTTTTAGGGTTGTTCTACACACTATACATTCATGCCAATAAACAGATTCTCAATACATGCTAAGGACCCAAAATTGTCAGTACTTTATACAATTAAACAACCCTTTTCCTCCAAGAATGGGAACAGGGGATAAAATTACTTGCTGCCTTGTTCAAGCACAATTTCTATGCGTTCTCTATATGCCAAACACCTGGGCACATCGAGCAAGCTTTCTCTACATACCAAATACATACACAGGCTTTGGCCCAAAAGTAAGAGTTTGTGTGTCAACCTCGCATGGCCTATTCTTAATCGGTCGAGGATCAACCTTCTTCTAAGGAGAGACCTTCTGAGGGTCACCTATCGACAGACACTGCCGATCCGGCCCACTGATGCTTCCACTTTTTTTTTTTTTTAATAATGTTTTCATTGCGTTTTTAGCGTCAGAGTGCCAGATTGCGGTTAAACCTGGAGGGTGGAACATCCTGGCCTTAGCTGCCTTGTTTCTCTTTTTGTTACTCTCCAAATATATGTGCCTGGGTACTCAAGCAAAAAGCAACCGTTTTGCCAGATTCCAGTTCATAGTACTTCACCAATAAGAGCACACAAGATTTTGAATTTTTATTTTATTAATTTATTTTTTAAAGAATAAATTTGGTGAACACAAATGAATTATTTCTTGTTACCTTGTCATTCAAATCTAACTAAAAAAATACTTATAAAATTAGTTTAACAAATAAAGTGGTATTTGCTCTCAAATGTTTTTTGATGGTATACAAAGATCAAATACAAAGGCTGATCTTATGTAAAATAGTGAAATCGGAACAATTTTAGTCAAAAAGTGGTATCAGATTCAGTAATATCGGTTTTGAATATGGGTTCTTCTGTGTTGGAAATGTGTCAGTATTAATGTTATAAACATGTCTTTGGATGGGATATTGGATAGGTTTGTGGTCCTAACAGATGAAAGCATATTAAGAGGATCTTGTATCCTCATTGTTATATAATAATAATAAAGAGCCAATATTCATTTTATGATAAAGCCATTTAATACAACTAGATTCTACATCATGAAATTCTATCCAATTATTGTACAGAAAGAAAAAAAACCTTTTTAGAATATCTAATTGAGAAAATATTTGAATGAGATTAAATGAATTTATTTTCAAACTAGTTCAACTGATATAATCTTCACAATAAATACTTAAATGATAGTACTGAGTTTTCTTGTTCTATTTCTGCAATACATATCACATCTAAAAATAATGAATTTTTGAAAGTAAAAAAAAAATGTTTCAATTGAACCATTGTTATATATCATAAATATAAGATAAAATAAAACATTTGTCAACAACTGTTTATTGCAATTTAGGAATAATCTTTTAGCATTTAACCATTCTGATTTCCACACTTTGTTACTTCATATTTATGTTAAATAGATCATAACCAATTTTTTCCACATGGCTAGCATAAGACCAAACGTTGAGGACCGGACTAAGGCTGAGGGCATCCAGCTAAAAGAACCGGTACACAAACTGAAGCCAAAACATTTTTGCGGCCTGTCAGAGCAATGCAGCGGGAGTGTTCAGTTCTTGGATGATAACAGAATCATGTATCCCATTGGAAAGACCATTGTGATTGATGATATAGTAACAAGACGCCAACGTTACTTACAGCTCACTAAATCTGATAGGATAGTAAGGGCGATGGTGTTGTCTCCAGATCGGTAAGCTCTTCATTTGCAAACTAACAACTAAACCCAATAGCAATAAAACATTTCAACAGTAAAATAATTTTAGATGACTTTTTGTTTTATAATTAAAACAAAAGATGAATGTATAAGTTTGTTTGATCATCTGAGAAATGTGCACAGTTCACTAAAAAAAAAAAAACTTATTGAAAATGGTTTACAATTCAAGATGTACTTTGTGCCTGTATAAAATGCTCTGTAGAACTAAAAATCATTAGTGTTATGCTTTTATTACAAATATTATATTAAGAAATGTTATATTTTATAGTTTATTTAAAATTAAAAAATAAATATATAATAATAATTACAACAAACACAATAATATCCAAATGTGTTAAACAATATTATAAATATATTTTTATACCTTCATTTAAATAATCTTTTCAATTAAGTTAATGAAATGATCACAAAAATCAAATTGAAATATACACTGCTCCACAAAAAAGTGGTGTATATTGAAATTTTGATAATTTAAGTAATGTACTAAGTCTTACTAACACCCACATTTTTTATAATTGATGTATTTATTAAAAAATTTGGTTAGTGTGAAAATATTCCTCTCTTTCAAAGAAAAAAATAATTACACTTTTGTGTCTTAGCATAAAACATTATAAAACAAACTGAATTTTTTTTTTTTTTTAATCCTCTAGCTCTTATAAAACACTCTAATCTTCTTGTCACATGCTTAATTAAATCTTTAATCACTACTTGAGAAATTGTATCTCAAATCTCAACTAACAAAACTATCATCTCAACTAAGGCTTTTTTAGATTTTATTTATTCATTTTACCAGCTCGTTCAAAAAGTGCTCAGTGGTGATCAAATCATGGATACAGTCTGGCCTTCTTACAGTGTAAATATTGACATCTCAAAAGTACTGCATAACACAGTGGTGACAGTTGGTCTTGCATTATCTTGCATAAACAAAAATTGCTCCCAATAAGGAGTAAATAGCACCACATATTATTCAAGAATTTTTGTCATTTAGATTTCTGTATTACATGATGGCCTATTAAAGATGTGTAACTCCATTTTTGCCCCATTCCACACTAAAACCACCTAACTAAACATATAACATATAACAAACATATAACACATAACTAAACCACCTCCAAAGACCCTCTTCTGGCAATGTTGTATTGGCTGTAGATCTCTACAGCTCCTCAATAAATTCGAAGACATCCATCTGGCGAATGGAGAGAAAACTGGGACTCGTCTAAAAACCTAACCCTTCATTACAGTTTCTGTCTAAAGTCAATGTCCCCTGCAAACTTTAAGTGGTCCTGGTAATGGTCCTATTGCTGGCCTTCTGGGATGTAGACTCATTTCTGTAAGTCTCATTCTTATTGTTTCAGTACTAATAGGCACGTCCCACACAGTTTGAAGTTTTGAGTTGTTTCAGAAGTAGTGGAAAGCGATGTTTCAGATTGTGAAATTGGATAAATCAGTTGTCAGCTGGTCCAGTCACCCTGGTCTCTCAGTACACCTTGCAGTCTCCTGGTGCTGCTGAATGTCCAACAACTGTTATTTTAGGCAAATCTAAAACTCTCGCAGTGTAACGCTGATTTCTTCCTCCTCAAGTGCTTTGTAGCAACTTTCTGCCGATTATGCGCATTTTTGTAATCGATTTGTTTCGTGCCCCACAATCTTGAATAAAGGTATTTTCAAAGAATTAAATACCTTGTTGATAATTAACATTGGGGAGATTTTAAATCAAATTAGGAATTAAGTAGCACTCACAATCAGTGACAAAACACATACTTTCCATCTAATTATAATTATTAAATTATTTTTAATATGGCCAAAAACATAAAAAAGAAATCAAAATTTCAAAGTGCGCCACTTTTTTGTATAGCAGAATACTTCTTATAAGAATACCACCAAAAATGAGAATTGTAGATATCTGTATATATATGATAGATATCTTGTTTCATGCTTTTTCTAAATACTTTTTTACTAAAAAAAAGCCCATTTGTGAGTACTCGAGTTACTCAGTTGTCCTGAATTTGAACCCGGGACTCTTAGACTGATCTGCCACCCTGTTTTGTGGTTCCTTTTCTGTATATAGAGATTGAATGTATTTATCAGTGTGAATGTGTAGTGTGAGAAGGACTATGGCGGTCTGTTGAGTACCATATCGATCTTCAATTAAACTAGTTATAAAATGAAAATAAATAATTATAATAATAATATAAAATGAAATATTATAAAAATGTGTTAATTTCTTGGAGGGTGGTACTACTTGAGTGAATGGTGTTTAAAAAGGAAAATCTATTTAAGACTGAGAGTGTCTTGGTTTCAAAACTGCATTTCAGGCTTACTTCAAAAAATACACACTTTTGCAGAGTTGAGTTTTTAAAAATCAGTAATAAGTGAAATATATTTTTAATAAATAATCATTTAATTCAACATTAATTTGTTTATTTTTGTGTAATGAATAAAAAATGATTGTTTGCAACATTTTAGTTGTGAAATCTGAAATAAATTGTCAGAATTTATAAATGTAGTTTTTCTTCTTTATACTAGTTTTTACAACCTTGCATCCATGGGGAACATATGCATTACTTTTCACCTTATTTTATTTTCTCTGTAATGTGAGAACTCTGTAAGACCTTCCCATACAAGAATTATGGTTCTGTCAGCTTGTGGCATCTTCTTTTCTTTCAAGGGCGTCAACTTTTTAATTTTCTGGAATTATTGAAGTCCTGAAATCCAGTGAGGTATTTTAGCAAAATGATATTTTATTTGATGAAGTTCCAATTCACTGTTCTGATAGTTTAGCTAGATACGCCTTTATTTTTGTATCCTCATATTAAATGTTTTATTTATGGCCTTATGTTTTTTTATATTAGCCAGAGAACAGTACTTGTGCTGATGTTTTATATGGGGGAAAGGGAGCATTTTAGAAAATTTCAGGGACAGTCTAACTCAGCTACCGTGGTCCCCCATATTAACTTTTGGTAAAAAAGATAGTTACTAAGAGATTAGAATATAGTTTTCATACAGTTCTGACAATGAATCAAACACCACAGTCAAAAAGTATTTACCTGATCAAAACATCTTTAAAAAAAATTAAAGGTAACAAATTTTACAGCTTGCTGAACCAATTTGGCAAATTTACTGAACTTACAATTACAAGATAAAATAATTAAGTTGCAAATAATATTAAAAAATGTTTTTGATTTATGCTGGTTATTTTTTACTTATAAAAATAGTGTCTTTCTCAATTGCCCATTTTTAATATATTTCTTAATAATAATTAAATGCCTTTTTTTATATAGACATTATCTCGCTGTCTCAGAAACAACTTCCAACAAACCGACGATCACTATATTTAGCATGATCTCTCTAAAGCAAGTAAAATATCTGATCAATCCAATTAAATATTGTACAGCTACACAGTTTGGGGCGCTTTCATTTACATGCACTGGAAAACACATTGCTGCACTAATAGGAGATCCTGACTGGCTGTTGCTTTTATATGATTGGGAAAAGGCCGTTGTAATAAATGAAACTAAAGCGCACCTTGGAAAATCCAGAGCAATCATTGATCAGGTAACTTTAATCAAGACACTCTTAAAGGAATAATGATGCAAAAATTAGATTAGTTTTGTCATTTAGTGAAATGATTTTTTTCCTTAACTTTTATCATGTTGCCCCATAAAATAAAAATTGGTTTTTTAGATAATTTGTCATCCTTCAGATCAAAATAGATTAATATTTATTGGTCCTGAAGTATTTCGAATGATGCATTTCATGGAAAAAGATTGGATACAATATGGTTACAGACGTACGGAGAGCACACATGTTACTTGTGCATGTTGGATTTCTCCAAATCACTTGATCGTCGGTACAGAAAATGGCAAATTACTTGCTATTGAGTTTGGAAATTTGAAAAGAGTCTACAATGCTGCAACTGTGAATGAGATCGATTTGAAATCACATGATAAGTAAGTTTCATTAATAACAAATATAATTTCTTTTAATTTAAAATTTATTTTTTTATCTTTACATAGATTTCGGTTTCTGAAATGGAATTTAGGTGTTCAAATTTATTATGTTTTTTTAAACTATAGGTGTACCACCTAACAAACCTCACCACACCACATCATAAAAAATATTGATTGATCATCTCCAATCATTCTGGTTTGCATTTTCTTTTTGGTTTTGTCTAAGTTTTCATTTCACTATCTTTGCATGATTGTCTGTGTGGACACAATTGAGAAAATAAGCCATAGACCAAATTTTGAAGATAACTTAATGCTAGAAAAAAAAAGAAGCCAGTGAGAATGAGTAGACCAAAATGTTTTGAAATTACCAAGCTATAAATGTTGATATCAACAGTTGGTTTTTATTTAAAAATATTAATTAATTTTAACATTCTCTTTTAAAGAAATGAAGGAAAAGGCATAGGATTTAACAGTGACATAATACCTTTACCGGTAAATCACCTTACCGGGTATGAACTTGGTTTTGCATATACTTGTGGAGTCGGAATGGTTATTGTTTTCGAAAAGAATGAAAAGACCTTAAAAAATACCAAGTATTTTACATCGTTCATCAGCAAATTTGATAAAATCCATATGTACATAAAATATAGTTGATAATTTATTCAGGTGGTATAAAAGAGGAGTTTACCTCGCAAATGGTCCTGCTATTGGCGACTTGGATTTAAGCGTGGTAGATACCATCCAACAGATAGCAGTTAGCCAAGACGAGAAGACTTTAATATGCACGACTTTAAGAAATGAAATATTTTATGGTCCTTTGCAAAGTCCAAACACTTGGAAGGATGTAAGAGAGATAATAAAATAATTTGTGATATTTTCTATATAATATTTTCAATTTAGTCAGAAAATGTTCCGATGAACACATTGTTTAACGGTATGCACAACGGACAGATTGCAGCGGTGTCCTCAGCCATATGGAAGTCAATTTTTATCACTGCTGGGAGGATTGACAGAACTCTCATGCTCTGGGATTATAGATCAAGGAAAATGAAGTTCCGAAAGGTGTTCGATGAGGATATTTACAGTGCAGCTTTGCACCCCACCGGATTTTTCTGCCTTGTCGGATTCCAATCCAAATTAAAATTACTTGTCATCTTTGTTGATGACTTTCGATCAATCAAGGACGTTGCAATCCCACATTGCCCATTAATAGAATTTTCATGGGGAGGACAAATTTTTGCAGCTGTAAATGGCTATGATGTTCATATCATTTCTTCAATAACACTGAAATGTGTTCAAATCTTGAAAGGACATTCTAAGGAGGTAAAGGAACAATTACAATATATATTCTATTATTTTTAAATCGACTGAAATTTTATGATGCCATTGTTCATGTCTAACTTTATCGCTTTAGTTAGATCTTTGAAATGTACATTTACAGATTCTTAATCTTCGTTTTTTAAAAGACGATTACATTTTGTTTTCTTGTGGTGAACAAGGCTCCCTGTACAAATGGGATTTGCGCAAGGAATTGAGAGATGTCGATTTTGAAACAAGCTGTAAGGGAATTTATGATGTCGCTCACGCTGAAGATGCCCATTTGACATATTTGATTACATTTGAAGGGACTATAAAAGAATTTCATGACAAGAAAGTAAGTGAGAAAATTTTTTCCTACATTTTAATATTCTTATTGAAATGTAAGTGAGAACTTCATTATATTTATTGAATTCTTAATTTATAAATAAGATAATTTATATTAATTTATTTTATTTATTTATAATAAATTATTATAAATATAATAATAAATTCTTAATTTATTCAGCTCATGAAAATATACGATATGAAAGAGTGGGCATTAAGAGCACTTGTCGTCTCTAATACAGAAAGTATGATGTTTGGTGCCTGCCAGAATGGATCGATACTTTCATTTTTATTTCCATTTAATAATAACGTATTGTATGTTGAGTATACCATGCATACAACTTCTGTAAAACGGGTATGAAAAAGTTGAATTTGTACCCAATTCTATTTTATGTTGAAATCAATCATTTCAGATATTAATCACTCAGAATGAACTGACGCTAATAACAATCGATGAAGGTGGTGCACTTTGTCTTTGGGAAATTGTGTATCCAGAAGGAGTTGTTCCTGATCCTAACAACGGATTCAGTTTTCTAAGAGAAACTATGGTCACTTACGAAGACTGGGCTGACAAGAAAAAAAGGCTAAATACTTTGAGAAAAAAATTGAAAGATATGGATGAAGAAAATGATTATATAATGAAGCAAATGGTTGCAAAAAATGAAAACAATCTCACTGAAATTCAGAATGGCTATAAAGCAACAATAGCTGATTTAGAAAATAAGATTAAAGTTTGTCTTTATTTTATCTGTAGTGACTGAGGGCGATAATTGTAGTTCAATACTTGTTTGTTATATTTACTTAGATCCTTGAAAAATCTCATATGAAAGAACTTGAAGACTGCACTTTAGCCATGGCTGAAAATTCCAAAAAATATGCTGAAGAATTAGAAAATCTTAAGAAAACATACCAAGCAAAAGTGGAAGAAGAGAATATGAGAAGTGAAAATATCATTTTTGAAACAAAGAAATATGTTAATTATTATTGGGAGTAAGTTTTTACTTTTAAGTAATAATCAGATTTTAAAAAATAACAAATCTCAGCTATTTTATTTTTATGTCGTTTCAGTAAGTTTAATTTATGTTATTTTCCCTCTTATTTAATTTAGTACATTTTATTTATTTTTGTTATTACATTTAAATCTCTATGTATATATTTATCATGATAAAAATTGTACCAAATTTTGTAATTTTTGTTATACAAAGGGGCTTAAAGACCCAGAATAAAATTTATTTTCTTCCCCTTCTTTCTTCCTAACAACGGTTTCCTCTTGCTATTCTGTATAATCATATATTTCACAATAGAATAAAAACGTACTGTATGCAAAGATTCACAAAACCTGACTTAGTAAATTGTGGGTTTAATTTAAAAGCACTTAGATTTTAAACATAACTTTCATTAATCACATTTTCAGCAAACTGAAAATAATAGAAAAAGCTTCTCACAGAACTTTAGAAGATCTAGCAAAAGAAAAGACAGAATTACTTTTGCAAGCTGTGCAGAAAAATTACTGTGTCTGTATATACATTTTTTCTAAACATATAACTAAACATGAAACTTATATTTTCATGCAAGTTTGCTTTCGCTTTACTGAAAAATCATTTTAGCTTCAAAAGAAAATAAATGAGTTGAAAATCAACCATACAGAATTGACAGAACAGCTAGAAGAAGATCGAGTTATAGAAATAGACGATATCACAACCAATTTTGAAGAAAGAATGGCTACCCAGAATGAAACACGTACAACTCTTCTTGCTCACAAAAAAATAATTATGAAAAGGAGTAATAAGTTAGTTTATAGTTTATTTATAATAATTTGCATGACAGTTGATAAAAAGAGAAATAATTGTAATATTTCATTTGATAATACTATGCAGCCATAATTGTTATATTGAAAAAAAAAATTAAATTGATTTCCTATAGGCTGAATCTAAGATTGCAGAAGTGCAAAACTTACATACACACTTTTAAATCCCACCAATTGAAGTTAAAGCAATATCTCTTCAAAAAAGAAGCTGTAAGCATCAATAAAAAAAAAATGTTGACAACATAATCTCGCATTAAATTTTGCTAGGAAATTACAAAATTAAAACGAGAAGTTGCTCGCCGCAAAGATCAAGTTGCTAAGACAAACGTGGCTATAATTAAGACGATTAGATCGCAGCGTGACTTTATGAAAGAAAAATTTGTAAGAGATGTTAGAATCGACACCCTAAAACAAAAACTAGAGCCTCTTGAGGACAAATTCCAGCGTTATACTGCACTTAACGACGAGGTGCGTACTGATTATATTTTTTACTAGACATTGATACTAATTTATGATCTTGTTTTTTAGTTGGAAAAAGTATTAAAGAATAAAGATCGGCTAATTAGTCGAACTAAAAAGATGGTCACTCAGCTAACAAAGCATTGTGTCGGTCTAAGTTCTGAACTAAAAGTACAAGATGATCTGCGGTATGAAAGTGAACAGTTAATTCAGAAATTGAAAAATGAAATTTATTCTTGCCTCCAAGCGTCTGTTGATCCTAAACAGCTAAGGAATACGCTTTTGGTGAGATATTTATACTGCCTGAAGTTTTGATTTAATTGTTTAAAAAAAATACTAATCCATTTTAGGCCATGCTACATCGCTTTATCACTCACCGTCATATTGATGATAGACAGGATCCTTCGTCAGCTGCAGAATTTATGAGACAGAGGAAACACTTAGAAGCCTCTGCTAAGAACTTGAGATCGCTTATTAGCCGAAAACCAAGAATAATTGTCAAATACAAAAGAACTTGTGCAGAAGCAACCAAAAATGTACATTACATCTTCATTTTGTAAATTGTCATTCTAATTAAAATTACAGTAAATATATTTTTTTAATTTTGTAGCATATTGCTAACTTAATTTCGGAATTGAGAGCTCTGAGACGGTGCTGGAGAAGATCAAAACGAAAAGCTCTTCAATTTGATAACATTGTTGAGGTAGACGGTGAACAGACTTTCCATGTTGCTCATTTTGACAGAGATTCTAAACCGATAGACCTACGAAAAGAGGCATTGACAGAAATTTGGGTAAATATACATTTATGTCTTTACAAATGATAGAATAATTACAATAAACATTTGTCGGCTTGTAGGGTTATTATTTGACAGTGCGAATCTTAATCAATGAAATAGAACATCTGTCTGGACAACACATAACCGATTACATAAAAACTATAAAAGGAAGACTAACCAACCTTGTTCAATGCAAAGCGAGGAAAACTGATAAGAACAAAAAGGGTAATCTAATTGAAAAGGTTGTGAAACATGTTATGTTGGAACAATCTCTGGCTTCAGAAAAATCACAGATTTCGTTTGGCTAATATGAAAAACGAATGCCAAAATGGAAAAGTTCGAAACTAATTAAAAGTAGAATTTTTTAAATTTTTTATGACACTGTTTTATGGATAGGCATTGAATAATTAATGTCTTCTTAAGGATTTTGTTTGATTATTAATATTAATATTATTATTTTTAGATTTTAATCTAACAAATAATCAATCAATGACTATAACAAACTTTTTTTTTATCACTTTTTTTTAAATCAGGTCACCATATACCATTTTTGAGTGAAAAGGTTTATAATTTTCCTAATTTTCTTTTCCTGTGCGAAATATAATCTGTTCTCTTCCTGTTTGAAATGGTTGAGAGAATTATCAATTTCACATTTGAATCCAGTGAATTTTTATTTTTTCTGTCTGTAAGTTTAATTTTAGCACACAAATCAATACATAGCCAAAATGTCACCAGCTCATTGAATTTGAACATAATCAGTGCACAGAGATGATTATAAACAAAACTGGTTAGGAACAAAATCAAAATCATTATCTACCAGGTCATAAAGAAATTGTGTAAAATCAGTGTTAAAATTATGTACACTCTCCTGCTGGATCACAACATATACTATAAGGTATTGCTAATTAAGGACTCTGCTGGAGATGACTCAGTATAAGAATGCATAAGAGTAAGCAGTATGAAACTTGAAATCATAACAGATTTTGCTAACAGGACCCTACAACTCATGGCCATATAAAGAAAGGATCCAAAACCAATACGATAGTGAATTTATTGTGTGCTTACTGCAACAGATTTCATGACTTCATTTTTTCTCCTTAACTCTCTTAACATTGCCAACAACTCTAAAAATATTGAATTTACATTGATCTGGAAAAAGGTAGAAGGCCAATCAAGGTAAATTTTTGGATATGCGAGCTGCTTAGCTCAGTTTACTTTGCCAATATTTAACTTTTTGCAAGTAGATCACGATTTGTGATTATTACTTTTTCATGTATTATGTACTGTTTGAGGTATTATGTTTATGTTCTAATCCCATAGTAAATTAGCGACTATTGTAGGAGCACTTGTTTTTGAATTTTTGTGAACAGTTCATTGGATGGCACACCCATGATGAAATTGAAGTTTTTGGCTTTCATGATCTAGGACTATTTGCAGGCAACCCATTATAATTTCTAATCATAGTCTGAACTATAGATACTTTTATTTCCAGTTTTAGCAATTTTACCTACAGATTTCCACTGTGATGAACTGAACTGGTAAGATCTTTCTTGTTAAAGTATAAAGCAGTACTGATCAAATTTGGGAATGTAAAATCACATAAAATTTTTTTGTTTACATACAGAGGATCAAAACAAAGAATATGTAGTTTTATTAATAACATTCCTATTTGAGTCCAAAATCGTATTTTGATGTGATTTTATCCTCTAAATATTTTAATATAACAAAACTAAAAACTGAATTGAACACGTATTTCACGTTTTACCGATATTAGAGGTGAAGAGGCCACTGTGACCACCTCTTTTATCTCTATCCCTATCCTGACTCAATAGCTTGTTCTGCACCTCGTTATTTTTCCTTATCCTGACAGTTACTTTCTATACGTTCCCCCCCCCCCCCCGATTATAGCTTTAAAAAAAAGCTTAAAAGCTAGTCACTCTTGATTGGGTGTGTGATCACTGATCAAATTCAAAAGAGGGCGGGACTCTGCCGAGAATGAAGCGTGGGAAGACCGGTTGGACCTCCTTGATCGCTGTGCTGTGACGCGATTGGGCCCTCACCGGCCCTCCCAGACGTCTTCACTTCTTTTCAGTTGTTATCCAGATTCTCTCTTGGTTATAGGCTTGTTTTTATTTGGAGGTCTATTTTATTCCATCCAACCCCGTTTCTTTGGTTTCGTTTTATTAATTTCATCGGCCCATTCCCAGTTAATGATTTGCTCAGCGGAACCTCGTTTAATGTTTTTATTTTCGGGTCTGATATATGGTCTAGGCCTCTTTGAAATATGCTTTTAAAATACAACAAGTTTCAACAGCGGACGAAGCTGTCAGCCAGCGGCAAAGCGCAGAGATCGACAGGTAAGACTGTTATAACTTAAAATTTGTAGTTATTGACAATTTTTTTTAAATTTGCTGTAGCGGTGATTTTATCGCTCCAGTTATCCACGAACGCGTTTCCATTATCCAAACATACATTTTAATCCTTTGTCAGTTTATGTTTAAACCGTGAGATATTTTAGTTGTGCTTTTTTGAAAGGCAAATCCGTTTTGTTAACGTTGTAAGTCCGCAGTTTTCTTAGCCGTTCGCTTTCCTGGACGAGAATCGCGCAAGGCGAGAGTGGGGATGAAATATTTCTTTACATGGTTTTTTTTTCGCTGGCCTAGTAGCTGGGCCCAGGAACAACGGGGTTTCAATTCTAATTAGTCCAGAAGTGATAATCAGCAGAAAAAATGAAATTTCATAACAAAATGCCGCTGATAAGATTTATCTCTATAAACAACTTTATTGGTTAGTTTATCTGATAAAAGCCGTGACAGGTAGTTCGAAAAGCGAAAACTCCATTTTGTACCGCCTGTACCTGTTATCGGGCCGAAATCAGAACGTAATATTTGCCTGTTTGCTCAGTTCTGTTTGGAAATCGGATCGAAATTGAATTTAAAGATCGGCCCGGGTCGAGATTGCTCTGTTTGAATTGGGACCCAGTTTAGGATTGAACTTTGAAATGGCCATTATCTCGTTCTATCGCCGTCCCCCTATTTCATTTCCCCTTTTATCGTCTGAGCGCCGCTGAACTGAAAACGGTTCAAGGTGCCTCTTTTCGGCAGAATTTGAGAATAAACCCTGGCTCTATACCGCCCAGACGGTATGACTTTTACGACAATCGTAGAATCGTTTATCAGCGCTGACTTCCTCGTTGCCAGGATTGATAGAGACTTAGACCGTCGGTGACCTCTCTCGCTCTCCCCGGCTTTCGCCGTTTCTCTTGATCAGGATTGCTGTCGTCCCATACAAAAATTTCTCACTCTCCGATTAATACTTAAATAAATTCTTCACGTTAAAATAGAAATATATAAAAATAACATTTCTTATATTGTATAAAAAGGATGGTCTAACTAAAACAAATGTACTACTTAAAAAGAATTAGGCAAAATCAAAAGATGAAATATGAAGTTGTGCTATTTTATGTACAATTATCTTTTAACAAGTAAAAAGTCTGATCTGACAAAAGCGTCGTAGAATTGCTGACCCTTGAAATCTAAGTTGGCGAAGTCTTCCAGATCAGGAACATGTCAGAAGTTTTGTTATACCATCCTTTTGCCCTCATTAATTATACAAATTCACTATTGTAGATTGAATAATAATTGTTTTATAGATAAAAAGAAAATACTCAGAGATGATCCCTTCAAAAGCTTAGACAATTTCAGAAATTATTCTGTTTGACCATTCTCCATATAAAACTTTATTATACACATCCTATTTCTGAGCATTTCTTTTAACGGTAAAAATAGACTGGTCTGATACCAGTGGTTGTATCAACAACATCGGGATTTCCTAAATCTAACATAAAAACAATATTTTGTTAAATTAGAAAAGACAGAGATGATCCCTTCAAAAGCCTAGAAAATCTCAGAGATTATTCTGCATACTCATCTCCTTAATTATAAAACTATGTTATTTTTTACATTACATATTAAACAATATTTCTTTCCAAGATAGAATTTTTCGTTAAATTAGGGAAGACTTATTGATGGTCTTCTCTTGGACTCTTCAACAATCTGCAAAATCCCAGATCCTTCAGGTGAATTATGCCCTTTAAATATAAAATTTGTCTATTTTTTCTATTATACATTGAACAATATTTTTTCCTTGATAAAAACAATTTTGTTAAATTAGAGAAAACTCATGGTCTCTTCAAAAGTTAAGAAAATCTCAGATTATTCAGTCTAATCAATTAATTATAAAATTTGTCTATTTTTTCTATTATATACTGACAGGCAAAAAATTCCACCCATTTGTATTATAACCTGATTTGTATATATTTTTATATAATAATCAAAGTTTCACGTTTTTTAACGTTGAATAATTGAATCTTTGTCTAAAAAAGTTTAAAAAAATGTGAATTGCTAAGGAAAATTAAAAATTAACAAATCGAAAAAAAGGTGGACAGATAAAATTTGTTTTAGATTTTTAATTAACATTTCCATATCGCATATTTCCTCCTCATGCCTTAATTACATCTCGAAGACGTCTCGGCATTCTTTTTACCAGCCTGGAAATGTCTCTTTTTCTGGAGATGAGGAGCCCACTCTTCACGAAGAGTCCTTTCAAGATCGTGGAGTATATGGTAGATGTGAAATGATGGACGTGCTCTTATTCGTCTTTTGAGGTTATCCCGTAAATGTTCGATGGGGTTCAAATCTGGAGAACTTGTTGGCCAGGCTAAGACCCTGATGTTTTGCTGTTGAAGGTACGTTTGTACTATGCGAGCGACATGTGGACGGGCATTGTCGTGCATTAGATCATCCACATAGCGAGTGGACGTCAAAGACCACCATCCACGAACAACAACCAACTGTTTGCGATTCTCCATTGAATTCTCGCCCATACCATCACTAAGCTACGTCGAAAAGGCTGGCTATGGGAAAAAGTACACTCTTTCACGCCCATCTGGAGATCATAGGGCAAATCTACACTTATCTGTAAAAAGTACACCATACCAATTGTCCAGACAGTGTTCTCGAGCAAATGGGAGCCGTGCAACACAGTGTTCTGGTCGATTCTGGTCTTTTTACGGGGCGAAAAACCATCAGTTCATACTCATTTAATCTTCTTCGAGCAGTACGTTCAGAAATTTGGACACCTCGATCTTCCTGGAGCTGAGGAATCGCTGGAACACAACAGTAAGGTGCCGGTTTCGCAAAATTCTCAAAGTTAAAAAACGGTCATCCTGTTCTGTGACCCTAGTGTGTCCAGAACCGGGCCTTCTATGGTAGGACCCAGTTTCTTGAAAACGTCTAACGGCGTCTCGCAGTGTTTCGTTGGGAACTCCGATGGTGACAGCCGCATACCATCAAATGAGTGCCACCCTACGCGCAACATCCTCCGCACTAAGTGGCATTTTTAAGTTTCAAAATTGAAATGAAGAAAAACAAAAATGAAAAGTAAACAGTTTATTGCTTCAGAATTCAAATGAGACTGAATAAACAGTTTAAATTACGCAAAAAAATAAACATTGAAAAATCCTTTATCCTTGTTTTGGATTAAGGATTAAGTGTATTTACCTCTAATAGATATTCCCAATTTAAAACAGCATAAAAAATATTTGTTGGTAAAAACAATGAGACAATTAAGGGTTCTTATATTCTTGTATCGGAAAAAAAAATCAATTGGGTGGAATTATTTGCCTTTCAGTGTACATTAAACTATACTTCTTTCTTAGATAAAACGTTTCGTTAAATTAGAGGAGACTCAGCGATGATCTCTTCTCAAAAGGTTGGAAAATCCCAGATTATTCACTCCAATCATCCCCTTTAATTATAAAACTTGTCCATTTTTTCTATTATATACTGAACAATATTTCTTTCCTGGATACAATTTTTTGTTAAATTACAGGAAACAGAGAGATGATCTCTTCAATCAAGAATGTGTCGGAAGATTTTTTAGACCATCCTTTCAACCCCTCTACAATAAAGCTTTTTCTATTAAAACAAAAAATATCTCTTTCGTAAATAAAAGGTACAATTAACATCTTGTTAAATTAGAAAAGACTGAGAGATGATCTCTTCAAAAGGCAGAGATTTTGTCCGACCATCCCCCTATTATAAAACCTATTTATTATATTTATTTATATAATTTCTTTTAACTGATAAAAAAAAGGCTGGTCTAACAAAGCTGCTCGTGGTTATATCAGCACCATCAGGATTTACTAAACCTAACATTTGGTTAATATCAGAAAAGTCTGAGTCTGAACTCTGAAACGAAGGGGTTTGTTAGAAATTTTTATAAGGCCCTTTTCACCTCCTTTATAATAAGTGTTTCTATTGTAAAGTAAATATATTTCTTTCGCAGATAAAAGGATGCTTAATTTAACATCAATTAAAATTTCAGAAGAATGGAATACAATAGCTCTTAAAGGGCGCAGTATAGCAACCCCCCTTGAAAATGCAAAGAGAATCAGCCTTCTCTGCCAATCTGGCTTGTTTGTAAACGCAGAAATGTCATGAAAATTTTTCCTTGTTGTAAAAATTATCCATTATAATTTTAAAATAGGTTAATTAAATTTAGAATATTATTCGAAATAATTGGCGTTTTGATTAATACTGTACTTTAGGTCTGCTTTTTCTACCTACCTACGTTTTGTTAATAATAGTGCAAAACTAAACGCCGTAGTTATTTATTAATAATATAAGTTCAGTTTTACAATCCAAACTATAAAGAAGTAAATTTTTGTTTCGACTCAAAAGCTTGACCGATTTGCCAACTATTCTAGCTTTGAAGGACTTGGGACGAGTCAATTTACATTTGTTAAATTTAAGTGACATTAAACCGTCGATGTTTTTTCAATTGGTTTAATTTAATACTTGCTACTCTATTGTCAATGGACATAACATTGACCAAATTGTTATTACACTTACAAACACTTGCATCAACGTTAAATGGAATGAATCTACTTGCACTTAAATACACAAATTGTGCAATGTACTAATTTGTAATGGGGTGTGGGGCACAAATTATCTATAAAAATGTTTGTTAATTGTACGAGGCTGCAACGAATTATATTTTGATTACTCGCTAATTACATTTTACCTCCTTGATCCTTTGATGAATCGGGATTCCCCTGACATAGAAAGGGAAATTGTTAATTAGTGTAAAATTAAAAAAGTTTCTCAAGCTTGATGCCTTACTTTGTGGATTTGCGAGCATCGACGACAACTTCAGAATTCTCGTATCGACAGACAAATTTAATTATTTCTTATTGCGTTATTATTAGGGATGACGTGTAAAATCGACCTAATTATCTTGGTTAGTCTGATATCGAATCCGAACTGGCTTGATATTATTCTGTTCCAAATTTATC